TCTGAAATTCACGTGCCGGTTAACCACACGTGCTCCATTATCTCAACGATAATTTATGAGACACCCATTACCAACAATATTGGTCCCATATTAGTGTGGTGGTTCACCACAAATGCTCCACTAACAACCAATAAGGTGTAATGTGCAATTTCATGGGTTAGCATCAAATTCATATTTTTTCTAAAGTAAATAAGAATTGGATTTTTAGAAAACGGTTTAGTTACTTTATCATTATACTTTTAATGAGGATTAAGTGTCCTATCAAACTCGTTTGGCTAATAACCCTCCACCATACAAGAGAGCAATGGGTAAGAATGGATACCCAATAGCGGTTATTTTATAGGTTGTTTCTTTAAACTCCCCTTATAATATGGCTTCGTGAATGAGGCGTACTAGCGATTCGAATGACTCGTCTTATATATATAATAAATATTAAACTTTTAATCTTACATATAGTATAAGGTGTATTTTAAACATTTTAAAATATTAAGGGTTTAATCTTTAAATAAATTAAACATTTAATTTAATGAAATTTAAACCACATATGGATTTATTAATTATCCTTTAATTAATCTTTTAATTAAATTATTAATAAAATCAATAATGATATATTTTAGGATTTTCCATTTTATATTTTAGAAGTTATACATTTAATTTTAAATTTCAAACAATCCCAAAAATATTAATTATTAAGTCCAATTAATAAATATCTAATAACCAATTATGGATATAATAAATATCCTTTAATTAATCAATTAACTAAATCATTAACCATATCCATAAAGATAATTACAATCAAATAACTCATCATTATCTAATCCATAGTTATCTCCTAACATTTAGGTTTTATTAAATTATCTTATATTACCAGAAATCAGATTATGACAGAATTAATAAAAGATAATTACCAGGTATTAACCTAGTAAATCAAGTTAGGCAAGGAAATCCGAATAAGCATCAGACGCAGCAACTCAACGAGTTCATTGAACAGAATGTCGATTTTGTTCCCTTCTCCTTTGAACAAGATCCCAATTGCATCTATTTAATAGAAAACTAATCCTAGGCTCTGATACCACTGATGGGTTTTGAGCATAACAACAAATCCAATGTGTGCATGCAACCCTAAATTGATTTGATCTAAGTTTTCTCTAATTGAACATGCAAACAATAAACACAAAAGAAGAAACCCTAGTATGCTACTATAATTTTCGAAATCCACCGAAAATTAGTGTTTAGTTACATACATTTATGATTGTTATTGGACAAAATTGCAAAAATGGTCCCTGTGTTTGGCAAAATTATGCGACTTTGGTCCAAAACGATACTTTGATGCACCACTGGTCCAAAATTGGATTTTTCCATTGTTTTTGGTCCCTCCCATTCACTTACGTCCATATACTCCGTTACATGCAATAAAGATCGGGGTATTTTCGTCTTTCCACATACAGGGACCTTTTTTGCAACCTTATTCAAAATAAAAGCAGAGCTACATCACTCTTCCTTCTTCAACTTCACGAGCTTCATACTCTTCCTACTCTGTGTTCACAATTTCTTAGAGATCAAAAATTAAAATGGTGATGTGTTTCTGTGGTAGGGAAGCGGTGGTTCGCACCTCCTGGACATCAGCAAACCCTGGTCGGAGGTTTCTTTCCTGCCTTCAAAAGGTAAGTGTTCGATTTTTCTATTTTACCCTCATTTTGGAAAATCACCCTCATGTTTAGGGTTTATTTTTTTATGTGAAGGGTTCCAGATGCCGATTCTTAGGATGGATTGATCCTCCCATGTGTGCACGATCTATGTTGATAATACCCGGATTATTGAGGAATATCAACAATGTAAACTATCAAGTGGCAAGATTGAAGATGTGTTTGTTTGCAAGTTGGTTACTATTTGTGGTGGTTTGGGTGCTTTTCATTTAGTAATAAGCAATTAGGAACCCCTGTAGTTGCATGTAATTTTTGGGTGTTTTTTGTCTTATGAAATTGTAACAAAGGAATGTGGTAGTTTTTGGTATTTGATAATGTAATTTCAGTTTAGGGTTATTTTGGACAACTTCAGAAATTTGTAACGTTTTCAAGGATATAATGACAATGTATTGCAGTTATCACCGAATGTTAATGTTTATTTGTTGTTTCAGAAAACAGTTCTTATAACCAAAAATGTGTTCCATAAACATGACAACCAACAGTTGGTATAAACCATAAACATCATTCTTCAACAATGACAAAAGGTTGACATTAGTTTCATGACCAAAAGGGCTAAAAGACCAAAATAAAACCATTACAACAAACTAGTTTTAAACCATTACATCCAAATGCACAAAAGTTGTGCTAAACCAAAAGATAAGTTTTTAAACAAAATACACTAATTCCTGCATTGACTGCTACCTCCATTCCCTCCTTGACTGCATCATGCATTCCCTCCTTGACTGCTTCCTGCATTCCCTCCTTCATTTCTTCCTGCATTCCCACCTTGACCCTTGCACGTCCTTGAGTTATGACCCCTATTGTTGCATTTCCCACACCTACACTAACAAACTTTCTGGTAAGTTTTTCAGGTTCACCTGCACCATGATTTTGCATCTGTTTATCATATTTTTCATCTGCACTTCTCTTTCTCTTGGTCTTAGGTCTCCCAGGTTGATTGTGATGTGGTGGTGGTGTTAATTGAAATGGACAGGTACTTTTTGGCCACATGGCTCTACCCTTTATAGGGTCCACAGTGTAAGAGTAAGCTTCATTCCATGTTTGAAGCCAATACACTTTGTTGACATAAGTGTAAAGCTCCCCAACTTTGTCTCCACTATCAGCATTTCATGTATTGTAGCTATGGCATGCCTGCATGGAATCCCATTCAATTCCCACCTTCTACATGTACATGACATATTTGTCATGTCAACCACATGCTGGTCATGCCAAGGACCATAAACTTCATACTTTGCAGTCCCATTCCATCTAGCTCTATATTGGACTGAAGCTTCCCTATTTCTCTCAAGTAACTTTGATGTTGTTGGAGTGAGTGGACCTGGAGCTTTGGACATCACTTTCTTCACATTGCAAATCCTCTTCATAAGGTACTGCCTGATGTACTCAAGACAACTTATGATGGGCTTATTCCTACCATGAATAAGCTTACTGTTGAAAACCTCACATAAATTGTTGAGCAATATATCTGATCCTGCTCTGCCTGTATTAAACAAGAAAATTATATGAACTAAACCATATACAATGAGCACTAGTAAAGCTTCACCTAAGTTAGGGAATGTAACCTGAAAAGTGGCTTCTGGCCCAATGGTGAGGGGGGATTTTCTTCAACCACTCAAAAGCATCCTTATCAAACTTGTTAAGTTCATTCATGTAGTGTTCAAATTCTGGTACTGTGGTTGCTATTGCACACTGCCATAAGTGATCTTTATACTCTTTTGTTTTCCATTTTTTCCTCATGTTCTCATAAATATGTCTTAGACAGAATCGATGCTCAGCCTGTGGGTATAGTTGTGCAATAGCAGGTAAGAGTCCATGTAAAGGATTATTTCACATAATCATTGCAACAATCATATACAAATAAACTATTAGTAATACAAAAAGAAGAAAATAGTACCTTTTGTCTATCACTCATGAAAGTAAAGTTGGAATTTGAGTACAACTCTAAGTCATCTCCCAAGCATTCTAGAAACCATTTCCAGCTACTCATATTTTCAGTCTCAACAATGGCATATGCAAGTGGGTATATGCCGTTGTTTGAATCCAATCCAACTGTTGTGAGTACTTGGCCTGGAAAGGGTCCTTTCATAAAAGCACCATCTAGTCCCAGAATATCTCTTAAACCTGCTTTAAACCCTTTCTTTAATGCCCCTAAGCAAATATACACCCTTTTAAACTGCCTTGTTTCTCTAGTACTGTTAGGCTCATTAACAACCTCAAGCTTCACAGTTGTACCCACATTAGTTGCTTGTAGTTCCATAAGATAATCTCTTAACACCTCGTATTGCTTTGTGTAGTCACCACTCACTTGCTTTGTAGCTGTTGATTTTGCTCTCTGTACTTTGTGTATGGACACACCAACTTGAAGCCTCTTCTGAACTTGCTCTTGAATGCTTCGAAGGGGTACTGTAGGGTTAGACTCAACCATGTCTAAGATTTCTGCAGATATATACTTCGCAGTGCAAGCCCTAATTTTCTAGTTTGAACACAAGTATGTTTGTCCAGTAAAGTTTTCACATACCAATAATCACTATCTTTTGACCGTGAAGTCTGCATTGACCAAGAACAATTTAATTTATTACCCTTACCTACCCCACTTGCATTTACATTAGGTACATTACCTTTACACACAACCCTAAGCCTTGTTTTGTTGTTTTTCTTGAAACCAAGATTCCTTCTACTCTCAATGGCAAGTTTGTTGACTTTGTCCTTAATTTCCTTTTTACTTTTATACTTTTGACCCACTTGAAAAGTAACTGTATGGACTTCACCAAGAGAGCACTTATTCTCCTTCACCATCTGTTTTAATATTGCTTTCCTTCTTTCATCATCACTATCTTCACCTAATTAGTCCCATTCATCATTATCAATTACTTCAACATCTTCAACATCTTCTGTATCAACAACTTCATTTTCAGTCTCAACACCTTTTCCTCTGTCAACATATTCAACATCTAGATCAACATTCATATAGAAATCACTCATGTCCACCTCAATATCACTTACATAGTTTTCTTCATCTTCAAGAAAGTCACTGTCTTCCTTACTCCCTTCACTACCCCCTTCACTACCTCCTTCACCAAGTCCTTCACAAACTCCCTCACTTTCAAATTGAACTTCCCCTAGTCCTGTGCCAAGTTTTGCACCAACACCCATACTCTGATCATTACCATCATTAAAAGTATATTGGTCAAAGAAAGGATCAAAGTCTTCAAATTGAAATGGTTGGTCATCAAAGGTATCAAACTCTCTTGTATTTACTTCTTGGTCACCAACATTTGCACCTTGATCATGAACTTATGTATCTTGATCACCAACAGCTGCACCTTGATCACTAACATTTGCTCCTTCATTACCAATTTCAACATGTGTATCTTGACCACTAACAGTTGCACCTTGCTCACTAATATTTGCACCTTCATTACCAATTTCAACATGTGCATCTTGATCACCAACAGTTACAGTGTGTTCCAAGTTGAAACACAATTTCTTACTACATGATTGACTCCCATCAACTAACCTCAATCTCTTATTTGAATTGTATTCGGGTGTCTCATATCTTACTAAACACAATTCAAGATTTAGGACATCTTGATCACCAACAGTTGCAGTGGGCACATCATCTGCTATTTCCTCAATTATGACCCTAGGTTTAACTCTTAGAGACATAAAGTATGTAAGTAACTTAGTTTCATTATGTTCAGTGTATACCTTGATGATCTTATGATGTTCAATGTACTGTGCAAGACTAAGTACATCAATATCATTCCCTAGAGCTCTAAGACCAAACTCCAAATCTCCATTTGACAATTGATAGTGGTAGTAAATGACTGGTGGTACATCATAACCAAGCTTCAGCATCACCTCGTCCAACTCATGCACAGAGAACTCATCCATGTCTACCAAGTCAATGTGGTCTAATTTTCCTTCAATGTAGCTTATCCCTGGGAATTTTGTGAACCTCCCTCCATGATGGAGCTCAATAGTGAACATCGTGGGATATCCTTCTGTAAAAATCATGAACCAAACCAAAAAAAATTACTTTATATGGATTGTCAAAGATTTTTTTTGTTTCAAAGAAATATGTAAGAAACAGAGTATGTTACCGTAAATTCGGATTGCATCAAAACACTGATTTATTGGCCTGATTTCCCACATTTGGACCATACTCGTGGATTCAAACTTACGATTGCGATTGATGATCAAATGCAAGATTTCAATGAACGATTAGGGTTTTCGATCAACAAGTTGGGTTTAGTGCATAGAGTGAAGGGTCATTAACTGTGTATATCATTCAATATGGCGGTAATCGATGATATGGAGGTGGAAAGACGAAAATACCCTGGTCTTTATTGCATGTAACGGAGTATATGGACGGAAGTGAATGGGAGGGACCAAAAACAATGGAAAAATCCAATTTTGGACCAGTGGTGCATCAAAGTATCGTTTTGGACCAAAGTCGCATAATTTTGCCAAACACAGGGACCATTTTTGCAATTTTGTCTTGTTATTGTAAACAATCTTGAATCCTTGCTTGAAAGACCTTTGGTAGCAAGCGCCACCAATGTCGTGCCTCTAATGGCTCTCAAACAAACTCAAGCTATCAAGGAATACTATAGAATGAGAGAGAGAGAGAGAGAGAGAGAGAGAAGGGAAAAAGAATTTTAGCTCTAAACCTTTCTTAGGAGTGCATTGATGAAATCGAGCCCTAAGGAGGGTTTATATAGGTGTTAGGATGGTATTGGATAAGGTAGGTGTATCCAAGGTAACCCTAATCCCTTATCTTCCTCCTTAAAGCATCTAAGGCACCCTTAGAGCCAAAGAAAACCCTAGGAGCATCTAGATTTCATTTCCCCCTACTATAGGGATGTTCTAGAATTTCCCAATGCTCAACTATTGAACATTCTCACCTTTAGTTTCAATTAATTCCTTTAATCCCAAAATTAATTCCAATTTAATTTATGATTAAATATTAATTAAACAATATGATTTCTAATTAATATATTATATCCATAATACATTAATATATCATTTACTTTGTATTCTAATTAATTTATTAACCAAATAAAAAATTAATAAATCATATTTCTCTCTTTAGCAGTTATCCTATTCAATTATCAGGTCTGAAGGCAACCCAAAAGGACTGTGCTACTATAAATTCAAGTTTATACCAATTATAGTTATGGGCTTAGACACCTAATCCAACACTCTATACGTCAGTTATCCATCAAACATTAACCAAATCTCAGACTACAGCTCAAAAGTACCCAAAATACCCCTATGTCAAATTAGGTCAAAATATTGGTTAAAGTCAAAGGTCATAAGTAAATCTAAGTCAACTCGGGTTGAATACACACCACATAGTCATCATGTACGCATAGAATACTCACTATCCAGAAACGGGGACTCAATTACATACACACAGCGTACTCAAAAATACGCCTAGCATACACGATCAAATATCAAGTTAAGTGCTTATTTACTTTAAGTGCTTATTTCCTATTAAGTGTTTATTTCCTTTAGTTCTTTCGTCCAAAACCTAGATCTAGTTCCAAATAGTGATTTAAATCATAAAGTTTCCATATTTATGACTTTTCATGGCTATTAAGTGTTTAAAACTTAAAACCCTAACTTCTTAACCCATTAAGACATCATAACATTTCCATGGTAGGGAAAGAAGGGCTAAGATCCCATTTTTATCACTCTAAACACTCTAAAATGTCCAAAAGGACAACTCAATTGGTCTAGAGTATCTTATACCCAAATGGACCAAGATTTTGGGGCTAATAAGCACAAAACTCCAAATTTAACAAGATGTAAAGAAATAACCAACAAGTTTAGAGCTTTATACCTTCTAGAGCTTTCTGAAGGAGTGTAGGACTCAAATTCATCAAGCTTAGAGTTCCTTTTTTTTCTTTCTAATGGTTTCCTTCTTTCAAAAGTAGACACGAACACCACAAAAGAGCTCAAAACACCACCAATGGAGATTAGGGTTTGAAAGGGACGAAGTGGGAAATGGAGGATAATAAGGGGAAGAGGTCTTTGAAATTTATGATGTTTAAATAAGTTCCAAACCTTAAAAATTAGGGTTTGGCCTTCAGCTACGTACGCTCACCATACAAGGAGTACACCGAGCGTACTTGGCAAAAGTCGTATTCCTCATTAATCAACCATAGGACCAATTTTGCAATAAAATTCATGCTAAGGGTCAAAATTGTAAATTAACTGAATAATGATGTTACAATTCTCCCCCACTTAAATTAGATTTTGTACTCAAATTGTTCCCTACTACACCCCAGGCCATTAGGACAATCCTCCCCGGAACCCGATCCGAACTAAAAAGTAGACTTATACAGGCGACTGCCTTCCCATACTATAATCAATCCAATCTTAGTGAAGCTCATGTACCCCGACTAATAATGAATCCTTGACTTACTAACTTTTACCACTGAAGAATAATCATCACAAATCTTCTCGAAATTGGGAAATCCAATACCTTGTCTGGTTCGCAAGCAAGCAAAACCATATTAAAACAAAATCAATACGCCTCTACTTTACAACCCAAACCATACGGAACCCTTCCGACCGTAAATTACCTTGTTGATACCATAGAATCCCCTAACTAATCACTGTTATTGAACCCTCCATTTGAAAACAAGGCAACTCTCAACACGAGTCTCGGCTAGATAACCGTTGTAGAGAAACACACACAACACCAACATATTCCACAACTCCCTTTGAGAACTTCAAATCAAGGCATCATATACAAAATACTCGAGAGACCCCTCGAAATCCCTCAACTGCCTACAAACAACCACATACATTGAGAATACTCAATCATAATGACTATCTTTCTCTTTCTATTATAAGACTTAACTTCTAGTAGGAACAACATAGTTGGGACTCTTAACACTACAACCACAAATCAACATCATCAATATGCTTCCCGAAACTGGGGACCCATCATCTCTAAACTTCAGAGACCATACTCTAAGACTGATGGTCCATCCAAGAATTTCTTGATACATCCAAATCCTTTATCATCTCGGGTGTACCTCCACCTGACAAAACACTCAAGACATTCCCAACGAACCTCATGATTTAATAATCCATAATCGATAACCCACATTGGTAGCAAAAATCCTAATAAACAATCTGCAAGCATACAGGGTTTATAATGAAAATACTCTAAGAGGCTCCTAATGCATAAATATTACTCCTAACAACATTTAACTGCCTACCGGATCTAATCCTGCCAGTCACTGAGTCTCCTAACTCTCACAATACACTAATATCCAAACATGCCAAGAAAACTAATGATCTGAAACCTAAGACTCTCAATCAAAGGACTATCAGATCTCACCCATATGAATCATACAGCCACTTATTAACGATATATTTTGACACCTTCTAACCACAAAACAATAAGCTCAAGGTACTATGCCTATCTTGCAGTCCTCCCATTACTTGGCTAAAGACTCATGACCAGCACCATAGGGCCTAAAGATAATCAACCATCAATCCACCATCTTGCGGGAACCTAAACAACATCCCTCCTTAATTCCAACCAAATACAACACAACCATACTCTTCTAGCCCAGATAATTCCTTTCACAATACAGGCTACTACCAATGTGAAATTAGATGAAAACATGATCGCACACAACCAAAATAAGATAGGCGGTTGTACTCTTGTTCCAATTCAAAGGATACGAATTAATTAAGAACCGTTACAATAACATAAGCTAAGTACTCTCATGCTATCATACCTAGCTTACATACAACCGCAAGGGATCACATAACCAACCCTAGATCTAATGCATTCATTTTCCCCCCATAATCTTACCTAGAGGGTGTGGTACCTGTAGATCTATCCAGAATTACAAACTTCAACCACTACCAGATTCATCCCAATGAATGGGTGAAATAAAGATCCCATAACTTGAAAAACTATATGAATAATAATTCTGATACCCATACATATGAGCCAAAATGTACCTGGTATGAAATTTGACGATAAGCTAATGTATGTATTGAACTCCAACTTATGTAACTCTAGACTTTTAAAGAACCTCTCCTATCAATAGTCAAAAGTGCATTGACAACTAATTCAGTGATCCAATACAGTACTGGATGAATCCTATGAACGACCAAACATAACAACTGTGAAACTGACTAGCTAATCAGCAACTACTTAACCTAGACTAAAGTTATCAATTTATACAACATGCTAAAAAAATCCTTCAACAATCGACACTTAACATGGGCGACCCACCCGCCTCTTGACCTATTCTTGAACTGAAGTTTTAAATAACTTAACCACAGTTCCATTTTGACCCACTCTTCTGAAACCATAACTTGAAAAGATTGTTGATTCTCTAAGCAGAATGTCCAGTTCTCCCCCTCTTAGGTTAGAAACACCACCGAATGTCATTAAAAACAAACCAATAATCAAACCGGCTCACCCAGATGCATATCATCCCTAGCACTTCAAATGTATAACACCATACAAGAAGGTCCTTCAAATAAAGACCAAGAAAACTCAAAGAGAATATGATTCCAAGATGGAGATCTTAAAAACTCCCCATACATGGCTGCTTCTAGCATCAAGAATTCGATGCATACGTACAAGCAAAAACACCAACTTTCTAATAAATTTATTAATACACTCCTCGCGTGCAAATTCCAACCAAAAATTCATCACAAAAATTAGTCAAAAATACAAAAAGCCATCCTTCTGGTAATTAGGATACACTAGAGATAACAAAAGATTTCGCTCCCGATTCACTTCCCGGATCACGTGGAACCATCGGCTAGTACTTGAGCTATCTATATCCAAGAAAACAGACCCTTGATCTCATCTCAAGGCCACCATACCACAAGAATTATGTTGTTCATTCCAACACTGTCATACTGTCGCAAAACTATAAAATTATAGCCCCAAGCTGGGTCTGTATCACAACTCTGAAAATCAAATGTATGCTCTTTCTCCCTTTTGTGCATAATATGAAAGAATCATATCCTTTGTCGTAGATAGGACATTCCAATCCATTTTCCAACCACTCAGCCTCCGATTGCAAACCTTGAATCGATCATAACAACCACTTCTTTCTTAAGTTAACGACTTAAGTGACACCACCTCGATCATGACTCTCGAGACCTCAAAATCATCTAGCTCAGCTAGGTATGCACCATCAAACCCAAACTAACATAGCCACCGAACAATCACAAGACTCATCTATAACATCCCCATTTTCACGGCCAGAAAAGACCGATTTTGTTTATGCTTTATAAAAATCAAAGTACCTCTTTTAATAAAAATGTTGCGGAATTTCTT